ACCGTGGCGACGAACGTCGTCGGCCGAAGTCGTCCAAGTCGCCTCTTCAAAACCGTTGATAGGAACACCGGGATCAGGCTCCTGGTTGATACCAGGACGGGAATTAGTGTGATCCCACGGGTTCCAGGAGACGCGACTAAGCCACAGACAACCAACTTGCGTGCCGCTAAAGGCACTGCTACCCGAGTTTTCGGTCAGCGCTCTCTTACCATTGACCTCGGACTACGACGTTCCTTTCGATGGATTTTCACCATCGCTGCTGTTCCGTTTGCTATATTGGGTATCGACTTCCTTCAACACTTCGATCTTCTCGTTGATACGCGTCATCGCAAACTCGTTGACAAAAAGACCCGGCTTTTCTCATGTGGAGTCCGCATATCTTGTGTTTCTGTCACTCCCATTTACATTCAGCCCGATGCTGATAAGGATTTTTTAGATCATCTCAGACAGTTTCCGCAGCTGGTCCACTCAGCTGACGCTACGCTTCCGGTCGCATCTAGCGTTACGCACCATATACGAACCCGTGGCCCACCGGTTTCTGCACGGCCACGACGTCTCGCCCCTGATAAGCTAAAAGCCGCTAAGACGGAATTCGAGCACATACTCGAACTTGGTATCATCTGTCCGTTCAACCGTTGGCTGTTTCTCAATTGTTTTGGTCGTTTGGATGCTTTGGTTTACCCCTAATGCTTGGTCGTCTCGCCCGCCCACGTTGGCCTTTGGATCGTGGTCTGTTTGGCTCATTTTGGCTCGCTCAGGTCGTTTGCCTGGCTCGCCTTCCTGGCTGTGGCTGCTCATGTGCTTGGCGCGTTGCTTTTGGTTCCCACGGCTCGCCGGTACGAACAGGATTACAGCTTGGTTGTGGCAGTGGATTGGAATGCCGTGGGGGAGTGACCTCTCCCAAGCGCGCAGTCCTTCAGCAGCGATGAAAGATCCTACCGGTCCTGTTTATGGAGTAGCCAGCTTTTTTCTCCGGTGTGCCCACTGGGACGGCCCACCGATGATGCCTCCCAATCCGCAAGAAGAACAAATAAGCTAAATGCTAACGAATTCCTATGATTCTGCCTTGTTTACATCTGCAAGCCAACATCAATCGAAGTCCTCGTCCCTCGGCTAAGCCGGTTGCGGTTTATGTACATTCCAAAACCCGTGGGTTAAATGCACCCCGTCGAGGTGATTCTTTCATGGGTAGCAGCGTAATATTCCGTAATGCGGTGGAATCACTGCTGCACTTCCTGCCGAACGTACATTGGACGATCTACAGTGGTTTAAGGTGTGCGTAACGAAGCTTCTTCCGCCTGGGTTTCCCGTCGTTACCGTCAGGAAAGTGACTAGATTAGGTAACGTCCCAGTTGAGGTCCCAGTTAACGCCCCAAACCCTCGACCGCGCTTATTTCGTGTGGTCCTATCCACCCCGGAGGAACGCAACGCGCTGTTGCGGTTTGCCATCAAATTGAAGGGTACTAATGTTAGCTTTCAAGCAGACCTCCCATTAGCGGATAGGCTGAAGCTAAAACAGGCCATTAAGGACCTCAAAAGTGGGCGAGCGGCCGGAGTAAAAGGTCTCCGGTTGGTGGCTTTTCGGGTGGTCTGCAGGCGGTCCGTTTCCGCCCTACCACTGCCAATACTGGTAGCGCGCAACTCAGGGCTGGACGTTAAGAGTACCTTCAGATAGTGCTAAGCAGTGCGCGGAGCCTAAGGAATAAGATTTGCGGGATAGGTCTGCTTGTAGATGGGTCTCATCCCGATACACTTGCATTCACTGAAACGTGGCTGTCTCGGGACATCACGGACGGTGAAGTACATCTCTCTGGCTACGCACAATTTAGATGTGATCGCTTCGTTGGCCGACAAGGCGGGGGCGTTGCCATTTACGTTAGGTGTGGACTTGACGTTTCACGCACCTACATGTTCCACTCGGCAGATAAAACTGTTGAAGCGCTGTCGGTAGTGATTAACACTTCCTCAGCTAAACTTACAGTCGTACTTGTGTATAGAAACCCTGGGAGTGCGCCCAAAGAGGTGCTTGACTTTATTCGCTCCCAATCCGCAAACAGGTGTTTGATACGGGGGAATTTCAATCTACCAGAACTTTGCTGGGCGGAGCTTTCTTGCAACTCAGCAGAAGGTACTTTCTGGGAAGATCTACTTGAGCTTACGCTACAAGTACCGGTGCATCAGTTCGTGGGCCTCCCCACTAGGTACATGGACGCCCAACTCTCGTTTATTTTGGATCTAGTGTTTGCCAAGTCACTAAACTTCGTGGGGGACATCACTTACAGCTCTTCCTTAGGCGCTAGTGATCATGTTTGTTTATCATTAAGGTGTACCCTGACCAGGCGTCACCAGAGCATTGCCAAGCCATTTCCAGACATATGGCGTGCTAACTATCAGGCAATGCGTATCAAGGCTGCTGGGATGCGTTACGAGATCTCAGTGGTTCATACGGTTCAGGCGGCCTGGGAAGAATTTAAATATTATCTCACGGAAGTGCCTTCTC